GGGCAACCACATTATGGCATTCCCCGGGTATTCCAACTCTAGAAGTGCTTTTTGCAGCCTGCATGACTGAGTGTGAGAGGAAACCTCTTTTAAGTGTTTGGTTTCCTTTTTCTACTCACTGCGCTACTCACCAAGGGCAAACCTAACTTTCTCTGAGATGCATCAAGCCAGCTGAAGCCGCAAAAAACCCAACTGCCTGAAAACGCAGCCCTTGTTCCACTGTGGGTGCTTGCTCATCGTTATTTACGCTGGAATGAAAGACTTAGTGCTGAGTGAGTGGGTGGGTGGGTGGGTGGGTGGGTGGGTGGGTGGGGAAGTGAGCGGGCGGGCGGGCGAGTGGGTGGGTGGGTGAGTGGGTAAGTAATTGAGTGAGCAAATGAGTGAGAGAGTGGGTGGGTGGGTGGGTGGGTGGGTGGGTGGGTGGGTGGGTGGGTGAGGGAGCGAGCGAAAGCTGCAGCGAGGTGGGAACCGCAGAGCCACTGCCAAAGGCGCCATCTCTCGTGGCTTCGCAAGAGGCTCTGTATACGTCATCGCCTCCTCCACTTGGATGCTAAACCGCAACCACACACTGGGCCTCATCCTAGCCTAGAAAGAGGGGCCACTCCCAGGAAGTGTGGGCTGCGAGATGAGCAAAATGCCACACAGCTTGGACGCAGCCAATGGGGCGAAAGACCGAATATATTGCACAAACCGTTTACAGATCTTGCGTAACATCCCCACACACCTAGCAACCACCACACCATCCCCAGTGGAGTTCCATCCGGGAAAAGGCGCACCATGTTCGGTGCGACTCAAAATGGCAACCCTGAAAGACAAGCCATTGCCCCTCAAACTGGAAACTCTGGACGATGAAAGCATCAAAGGAGGTCTAGGCACATACCCGTTGACCCTACCAACTTGTCCGCCTCGGAAGCTGCAGTAAGACGAGGGCCTGGCAGTGGCGGGCTTGGCATGGACTTTCCCTTGTAGCGACTATAGAAGTCTACATATGCACATACATACACCTGCCATGCGTACACATGTATCTTGTTAAACTGTTAGTTTTATCATATATGTATATGATTATATCTATAGGCTTATCTACTAACTCTGCAATAAGTCCGAAACCTGAAATAATAATTGGATCTCCAAGAAAAGGTGCTACACAGTGAGCGCGTTTTAGCTTGCTGTGTTGAGTCTTGCTCTCCCCGCCGACGGCAAGGTTCCCAATAACCATTTGGGGGGTGAAAGGGGGCCGGCATCGCTGTGCGATGAATACATATGCGTGCACATACCGTACACATGGGTATTCAGGGTATAAATTATATATATATATATATGTGTTATGTATGTACTATATGCAAATCTGGGCGGTTTACTATGCACAGACTTGAAACAAGCAATCTGCAAGGAACCTTGGTGTTTGCTCGTTTCATCGATCGGTGAGCTTGTTGTAATCCGTGCAATACCTTAAATCTATACCAACTGTATGCATGGAATACTGTTTACAATTACATACAATATATGAAGCATTTTAGTCTCTCGGGACAAGACCTTGGGCCAAAGTAAATCGTAGACTTGGAAGAAGGATACTCAGCCAAGAGTCATGGCGAGCAAGGGCAAACGAGCCACTGCCAAAAGCCTTGCATGTCAAATTGGAATATGTTTACAGCCTTCGCCTGAAACTGTTTCTTGGCCACGCATGCCTCGTCCGCGCTTGTGTGACATCAATCTGCCCCTGCTTCTTACAAGCAAACAATAGTATTGGCAGCATGTTCCTTGAAAACCACATGTTCCTTGTCTCGCTGGCACAAGCTGGAACATGCCGGCAAGGGCGCTTCTGGCTTTGATGCTTTCTGGCGATTGCATTGTCACAGCCCAGCTGCAGGCTGTCTCTAGCGAGATTGGCAACTTACAATGCGGACCAGTGGAAGCATCCAAACAAGCACCAAAAAGCGACCATCAGCTGACAAGCAGTTGAACGGGAATTGCTGTGTTGATGGAATGCGCTGCCTGCTCCATGCAAAGAAGCCATGGCTTTCACTTTCATAAACTAATAGGAATTGGAGCTAAACTCGCAAATGCTGGCGCCGAAGCTGAAACATGCTAGGCCATGAAAGCAAGCTCTCTAAAGCCTTCTTCGTCTCCTTCTTGCTACTGGACCGTATATTGTTGATCGGTTTGGATGACCGTGCTAGGAATGGGACCGTATTTGGACTCCAGGAATCCCTTTGAAACGAGCTTGCTCTTCACTGCAGGAAACACTTTCTGTTACTTAATTGGTTTGGATGGACTTTTTCTCCCTCAGGCTACCATGGAGTCTCCCAGCACTCTTTGGGCAGCTGGTGGCTTTTTTGTTCGCCTTTTTGTTAGCTTGAGTTAAGTGTGGGTCATCCAGAGTGGGATATCAGGCATGTCCAGGGGCAAACATCTATTACAGCAAGCCGCGCCTGAAGCCACTGCGCAGCCTTCTCGCATGAGCTGACTGCAGCATTGCAGGTGACCTGGGGCAACCAAGTCAAAAGCACTCTGGTGTAGCCTGGAAGAGGGGCATTCATCTGAGGTAACCCGCTGAGGAAACCAGCTGGGGTAGCCTGGGTTGCACATTGGGTGACCCCAAATATGTTCTAATAGTTCTAATACATGGATGCTCCGCGCGTCAGTGTCATGCGATGCAAGCTGGAACTCACCTGCCAGCACCCAAGGGCGAGGGCCCACGATAAAACCTTCAATCACACCATGTGTAACATATATAATTAGGTGTGTCTACAAGGAGTAGCTGCCAATTTCATGCGGGCAAGTGCAAAGGTTTCTGAGTGCTGTGAGTGCTTCACTGAAACGGGTAGCATTGTATCTGCTGCCCGTGGGCTTGGACTCTCTGCCCGAATGGAGAGCTCCATACTTGGTGCTGGGCAGGATGCTCACCGGATGAGTTGGGTTGCCCGTTGCCATATCTGACGTGGCTGTACAAACATGTACAAAACCATGTGTTGGTCTTTCATGGAAATGAGACATCGACCAACAATACAAGCAAAGTATCAAGAATGCGTGAAACCCATGTACTTGTTTGGTCCATCATATCTATTGGTGCCCGTACCATCCAGTGATTTCTTTCTGGACACTTAACAAAGGATACCTCCAACAGGGAACGGCCGTCCCCAAAGCATTCGTTTCGAATGGCCGGTGCCTGCAAGCAAAATTGCCGGGTGTTTGTCTGTGACTTCTGAGCAAAGATTCAACGCGCCACTTGAGGAAAAGGAATCTCAAAGGGTAATCCCCAAAATGGGTTGGGGGGGGGGGGCGGCTCCCTTGAGTCTCTTGAAAACGACCCCAAACGTACCTTCCACAGTGACAAAACCAAAAGGGAGCCCTTCCATTTTCGGGGGCCGAAGGTCCCTCATTTCACACTCAGGTGGAAGTTCGTCCACCGCGTGGAAGTCGTCATCCCTTGGCCTCTCACTTTCTGTGGCCCTGCAACCCGATTTCCAGAACCGTAAAAGCATCTAACCGGCGCTCCTGAACGGATCCATCCAAAACACCACCTGCCCTACCAGGGTGTCCTGTAAATCAAGTGGGCCCCAAACTGATGCTTTGGTTGCCCTTTGGTGTCCCTTGAAAATCACAAAAAAAGAGGGTTTCCCCCCAAAAAAGAGGCGAGCCACCCAGCTGAGACTCCAAGGCGCCACGTTCAGCCCTTCGTCTAAAAACGCCGCCGCCAGATGGCTCGCCCAACGCCAGGAGGCGCCGCAACTGCTGACCTCGAGGTCTCAGCAGTTGTTGATGCGGGTCTTTGTTGAGGCTCGGCGCACTTTTTGGGGTTGTGAAGGGAAGTTAAAGGGACACCAAAGGCAAACCACCCAATTATTTTGTATATATACATACTGATGAGAGTGATATTTCGAACACGTCTTAAACAGGCTCACTACAATAGGCGTGAAAGGGCGTTGCTGGAAAGGGTCAGTATTTTGTCAGGCCCCAATGCCAATGCCAATGTGGCTTCCTCGTAAGACACCAGTAAAAAAGAGTTGACAACGTGAGTGACACGTTTTTTGAAGGGCTGACCCCAACCAAGCGAGACGTTGAGCACCATAACAAAAACTAGTAGCGAAACAGCTCCCCTCGGGCACACAAAAAAGAGCCCTCCGGTGTTTTGGCTTCCACTTGGCTGCAACGAGACGCAAGGCATGGGCGCCCCCCTCCAAAAAGCATTCCAGGAAGCAGGAGGAAGTTGGACAACACGTGAGATGGGTGCAGCACATTGGATGTGGGCAGATCTGGGCGACCATCAAGTAGTGCAAATATCTATCTGCCCCAATTCTTTCAGATTCTTTCTCCATATTGACCCCCAACGTCGCCCACGTCCATTGTTGGAACCCCTGGAAGCATCGTCCACATTTCATTGTTGGCACCCCTCCACATGGTTGAGAAATTTCCAAAATGCCGGACCCTTTGGTGGTGCTTTGAGGGAAAGGGAACCCCTTGATAGTTTAGGGGACCACCTGGGTATGTGTCAAAATAAGGCGCCCACCAAGTTTGGTTTACTTATTGTACCAACCCCGAAACGAGTACCAAGCCTCAAGAAACCACCAGCGTGGCGGAATGCATGAAAATCGCGTGGAAAGGGCCGCATTGTGCGGATGCAGGTGGAAGATGCGGAGCGTGAGTAGCAACCGTAAGGTGGATTAGACTTCAGATCTAAAGACTCAGACCCCTGTAGCGCGGAGAACACGTGCAGGTCTACCAAATCCTCGGTTGCCTCATCAAATTACACCCCTGCAAACTGACATGGGAACCCCAAAACTCCTTCTCCCCGGACATTCTCCAAGTTTGGGGGGACCCTCCCTTTCCATGTGGGGGTGTCTTTTTTGAGGGCACCCTTTGTTGGGCAGTTTTAAAGGGAAACCAACAGGAAAACCATCATTTGGGGGGGGAGCCCCCAAAAAAAGGCACCCACGTTGATTTCCAGAGTATGGAACCCAAGTATCGAGCCAGCCACACCCAGCGAAGCCGTCAAGGTATGGTCAAGGCGCCAAGCTTCCCAGCGCCACCTCGTCCAAGGTGAGGCCTTGCGCCTGCTGGTGGTCCACCTGTCGGATATAAAATTCACCCCCCCCCGACAACAAAAAAAAGACGGCGGTGTTTTTTTTCGTTTGGCTTGATCGTTGAGCCAACCGGGAAATTGCGCGGTTTGTTGTTTAGAGTACCCCATAGTGGGCTTGGCTTAAAGGAAACCAGAAGGAGACCACCGTTACTTTGACACATACCCAAACATGAGCTGTTCGCCCCTTTAGGGGCCATGCGAGTTCCACGATGCGAGTTCCACCATGCGAGTTCCCAAGAAGCCTTGCTCGTTTCTTCAAAACGTGGGAAACTTGGAAATCCAGACTCAAACACCGCCAGGAAGGACTATATACTACTGGATATTTGAAACCTTGTGAATTTGCGGTTGTTCTTGGCTTACGTTTACCAAGACCAGCAGTGGGTGTAATGATGCCAAACAAACCCTCAGGGTAGATGTACACAGCGTTCTGGCTCGCATCCTTTTAAAACGTCACCGCAAATAGCCCTGCATATGGAAATACATGAGGCCGCAAATGGTTGAACTCCGCGCTTCAATTGATGTGACAAAGGGCGCGGCTTTTTCTGGGCAACGCCACAACTTGCAGTTAGAGCAACCATCACAGGATGCCTCGGCACCCCCGGTGGTCATAAGAAAAACAACAATTGCCAGTTGCTCCTGGAAATTACTTGGCCCAATGGGATTGAGGAGCACCCCGAATATGGACAATCTCCTTTGAATTCCCGGCAAAAGCACGCACCTGGGCACTACTGAAGGTCAGGAACACCGTTGCGGTTAGGTGCATGAGACCTAGAAAGCAGTGCGCCTCATTTCCCCCGACAGTCTGGGCAAACAGATCTTGGTTGTGCCTTTTCAAATCTCAGACAAAGCAAACCGCAATTTTCAACAAGCAAACCCCCGCCCATTTTCACTGCAAAGCCCAGAGCAGTTTGTTGAAGCAACGGAAGCAAACACCAATTGACAACATGGCGTACCGCTTAAAATGGGTTTCTCAAAATAGTGGGGACCCCCCCACGACCGACCCCCCCCCCCTTTGCTGAGCACCTCTGCCAGCGCTTGTCGCCAGGCGCGCACTGCCGCACTTTGTGCCCACAAACTGCAGCGGTAGCTGGCGCTCTGCGCCTGCGAGAAGCAGCCATCAACGGGGAGGTTCCCCAAAGGTTTTCGGACCACCTGTTTTGGTAGGCATTTCTACGGAAACGGCAACCGTTTGGCTGGTATTCAGAGGGAACCATTTGGGAAAGGTTCCTCATTAAGGGTACCCTTTTGGGGTTGGTTTAAACGGAAACAAAACACACCGGCTTTTGGGGTCCCCGATCTTGGCACATTGACATATCCAAATGGGAAGGTGGTCTTCCTTTTACGCCCCCCCCCCATCCATCAAAGGTTCTCAGAACCTTCCTAGAAGGGTGTTCCAGAAGAGTTCTGAGAACCTTTCTGGAGGATTGGGGGGAACCTTATGTCTCCCCTAATATGAGTAACTGTTTGTGGGTCGAAACAGGAGTACAAATGAGTGGTTCTCCTTTTGGTTTCCTTGAGACCAGGCTGAAAAGGATACCCTCTAACAAACAGATGCGTATGGGCACATACACACGCGTGCACCATAATTATGCAACCTACCAATGCTTCTTATTCCAAATCAGACTAACCAGTGGTTCAAGAGAGTGGGTTTTCTCCTTATCTCAACCAGCCTGACGTGAACACTATGCCGGCTAAAGATAGCTGAAGAACATAAGAAGGGCACCTTCAGAAGAAACATGGTCAAGCGACCATGAAGCAGTGTCAACAGCTCAGATATCATGAGACGTCCCCAGCATCCTCAAGCGCCTCAAGGAGGGTGGAACCCTCAAGCCCGGGTCTATTTTGAGTCTCCCTCCACACGGGCTCTACCTACCTGCGGTTCCGGTGTTCTCAACCGAAAAAGGGGGACAATTGTGCGTCCTTTGCACGCCTTCCCAGTCAACCTGCGGGGGCGAGCGCGCTGATCGTTGATGATTTTCCATGTCTCAGCAAACATAGGCACCCCCTCATGCCGCATTCTGGAAGGATGCGGAAGCAAAATGAACCTTGAACAGCTCCCGACATCTCCCGATTTTACTATGTGCCAGAATCCCAAACTGCCTTTGTTGTGAGAACCCGGGGCATAAACAATACCTGAAACTCCAATCAGCTCACGGTCAAAACCGCATTCTCTTTCCGCAGCTGGCACAAAGCTCCCTCACAGCCAACACCTGGGACTTTAAATCCTTCGTATCAAACTTTGCAAGACACCTGAGAAAAGAAGAATCCATGCTGCAAGGTACTATGGGTACTTTGAAAGCCCCACCAATTCATGATCTATAGTAGCAAATGGCTAAGATCCTTCTGTAAGTCTTTTAGGATACCTTTTCCAGGGTTGGCTGAAAGGAAGCCCAAAGCCCAGCCCCGGCTGCGAGTGTTCGCCTGGGCCAGCAGCAGGCCGCTGCGGCGCCACGCTGTCCGCAAGGCGCCACAGGCGGCGTTCCGCGCCCCGAAGATGCCGCCATCCACCCGCCACACTGCCAGCAGGGAGAGCAGCGCGCAGCCGCGAAGCCAGTGCCTTTCCGGCAAAACGACTAGTGGTTTTCTGGGCAACCTGTTCGGCTGAAGACCATGACCAGATCTCCATGGGGAAAACGGGGCACCAGCGTTGATTTTGCTGGATTTTACCGGGAACCCCGCCCCTCAAAGTAAACGAGCGCACTGGGAGGAAGACAAAGATCGATCTGAGCCCTTGATTTGGGGGGCTAAGACCAAGTTCCGGTTGATGTTCGTGCATTCTTCCCAAGCGAGAGCTATGGGGTCCCTGACCAGATTAGCTGGGTTTGTTTGGTGATTGTGTGGAAGAAATAATAAGAAGTTAACCTCATAGTTTGGCTGAAGGAGAGGGCTTGGCAGAATTGTGTGGCATACCAAATCAAGTCTTAACCAAAGATCGCTACCTTGTCTTGTTCATTCGTGGGGCTCGCATCCAATAAATTCGCTGCCAGGTGACTGGCATTTGCCTAAAGCCGCAATCGCGCTGTTGTACAGCACCTTGGCTCCACGCATGCGGCGCACAATACTGACAGAAAGGTTGCTCGCTTGGATATGCCTACAGGTGCCAGCCAGCACGGGACAAACAACTGCTAGAGCAGAATGCCGAGGCAGCACGGCATTGCTTGTTTAAGAACAATCCAGAGCATGAGAAATAGACATCATCATGCCAGCTGCAGCAAGGAACACTTACGCTGTCGAACTGAAGGCATCCAAGCCTGAGCCACGAAAGCTTCCTCGCGCAAACATTCTGATCTGGTATACGTCGGCTCAATTAAGGTATGAGGAGCACGTAACAAACAAAGAAGCAACATTCCTCTGCTTCCATGACATCCCGAGTCAATTGCACATAAATTATAAAGCGATATGCATTGCTCCTCGCATCGAGCGCAATATCAAGCACCCTTTCTTTCAGTTGTCCAAAGGACGCCGGGAAATGAAAGGTTGCCTTTATGGACCTTGACTCAAAAAAGGGAAGTGGCGACCGAAACGTTAGGTTGGTCTTGACATGAGTTCTAGCCCCCACCTCATCTGCCCCACTCTCACTGCCGCACTCAGTCTCCCAGACTCGGCGCCGGCGGGGTGTCGACTGGAAGTAGCTCTGTGACTTGTTGCCATGGGCATGTGCCTGAGTCGTGGCAACTTCTCTGCCCAGTGACCGGTTCGGTAGGGGGCTCCAGCTTTAGTGAGGAACCTCAAACCAAAAGGGGAGGAGGGCTGCTACTGAGCAACTGGGAAATCAAGCCCTCCCAGCAGCGCCGCCCCCTCCCCTTCCCCCTGCAGTTCCCCGGATGCAGGGCTGCCTAGGGCAGCACCATAGAAGCAAGCGAGCTGCAAAAAAGGAGTGTGAGTGTGGTGCTTGCCACTAATTCAATACTTCAAAGGCGGGACATCACAAGCTAGAGCTTCGACCTGTCGATAGGCATCCAGATTCACACTCTGCCGTCCGGAAGGGAAATCCATAATCTTTGCTGCGATGACGCAGACCTGTGCTGCTGCGCGCAACTTGATGCAGCCTTCCCAATTCCTAGTCCTGCTGCATGCCTCAGCACTCCCGCGTTTACTGTCCCCGCCCCTGAAAGTCACTTGCTAACGAGGATTTCGGGATTTTCGGGGCCGAGACGACAGATCCTGGCAATCAAGACGTTCAAAAGGTCAACGATCTGGGAAAGGTTTGCTGTGCCAAATAGGGGATGCGAAAACAAAAAAGTCGCATCCCCTGGTGGCTTCCTTTCAGGGTCAAACTTTTTGTTGGCTATATATTTGTCCAACCAGAATTGATGCTCTGACTTTACCCATCCCATCGTCTCCGAGCCGCGCAGCGCAGCGACGCACTCGCGGGTGGAGGTCTGACCTGCGCCAGAGAATGGCGCTGCCGCGCGGCCGGGTTATTGGTAACATCGACCGGTGGATGTCCATGGCGCAAATGATGCGCTTGTTCACTAGATTTGTGGAAGACCCATCCCAGTGGACTTCCATGGGGCAAAAGGAGTGGCAATTTGTTGGTTGATATCAAAGGGCAGCCCCATCGCCGTGCAAAGAGGAAAACTCCCGTATCAGACAAAAAGATACTGTCAGTGTGTGAGGAAGGCCATCAACGGGACCCTACAACAGCACCCTGCAATGTCGTGCCTCCTACGTCAATCAGGAAACTGAAACCGGAGCGCCGTTTCAGCCAAATGTCTACGAACAACCAGAAGGAACAAATGATTTCGGAAGGTTGTTGGCGTAGACACATCCCCTCGATTCCTCGATTCAATCAACACGGCGCACGAACTCCGGGTCATGTAAAATCAACAACCGATGACACCCGTGCCATGACCACCCAAGCATCCCCAGCAACCAGCCGAGTGGGCATGTGTCGAAGGTTCCTGTTTGGTTTCCTTCAAATACGATTCCAAGTGACGTGAGCAGCTTCCGCCAACATGGATTATATACAATCATTAGGGTGCTTAAGAGACTGGCCATGACAACCCATGAGCCAGGTAGAAGAACCACTTGCTAAAACAGCCGCTTTGGGCTTGTTGCGGCCTCCACCTCGTGTGATGCTTTACCCATAGGCCCCCAAGCTGTCAGTTGGCCGGATTCTGAACGTTTCAGAATTTGAAACATGGTTTTGAAGGGAGGCGGGAAAATGACCTGTTGAGTCCCCATTTCTTGAGCGGATTGGTCAACAACATGGCACTTTCGCTTTACCAAAACGATCTATTTGACTTTTTTGTTTTTGGGGCCTTCTATTTCTGCCCCCCTCCCCCAAAAAAATCGCTGCGTCTGACGGCGCAAAGGCAACAAGTGTGTAAAGTCCAGGAAGTCAGGGACTTGGCCATTGAGGTCCCCGCCTTGTAGCACTGCACGCCACGCCGTGGCCGCAAATTTCCGGGGATCCCGCCGGAGCCACGTCCGCAAGCCCGTTGCGCCCGGTGAGTGCGAAACGAGGCAGCATGTATCCAAAGCCAACGCCGTTGAATAGCACATGCAAATGTTCATGTATCTGGTTTCGAGCCGTTGCGTTCTCTTGAGATCATGGCTGGTGAAAAAGCGCCTGGTATTGCACGTCTTGTAGTGCCAACTCAAAAGGGAGCTAGTCATTTGGCATATTTATTGATAAGCCGATTCTCGCCACAACTTGGGTTGACTCCTTGCAACTGTCGAGCATAACCCTGTTGGTCCTCATGTGAATGTCTACATTGTGCATACGTGCGTGTGTGCTTCATGCCCGCAAGCAACAGCCACGCAGTCTACCCCGTAGGCAAGTGGTCCAGCAAAAAATGTGAACATGCTGTTTCTCTTTCTGGTCCTTCCGCCATCCAACCCTGGGAGTCTCTTTCTTAGGACACCGATCGAGAAGCAGTCTCTCTATAGCTGGCAGCCAAAACGCCGCAGTGATACAAGGCCAGCCATTTCACTTCTTTGCACACCTGCGCCCCCAACTTGCCCTGTCATGACTTTGAGGAGTGTGCAAACATGAGTGGCCTTCCAAAATGGTGGGTCCCGGATTGCCATCAACAGCCACGTGGGCACCACTCTGTGTCATGACAGGGGCTTCCCAATGTTTCAGGTCTCACGGGTGCCCTCCAACGCGCCGTTTGTGACTCCGTTTACGAACGGGCCCGCACGTCCCATGTTTGCCAGCTCGAAGGGTGGCGGTCAGGTCACTTTAGATCTAGCAACCCCAAACCTGTCAGGTGGGAGACTTTAGATCTAGCCCTGGAATCTTGCCCTGAATTGGACCTGGAAGTCCAAAGCATTGCACCCAGGACGGCATGGTTCCCAGTTGCTTTGCACACCGTACCCCGCATTGTGGCAGGGGTGGATTCAGGGCAATCGAAAGATGCGCAACATCGATTCACAACACAGCAACTCAAAATTACACGACGCTAGACAACACAAGACTGGCGCACACCAAATGCCAGACTTGACTCAAGCAAAAGCAATGCAGCCTAAGACATCTTACAGCCGATAGAACTATCTGCACGCTGCAAAAGCAGCAAAATCATGCCACGGGGGTCCCATTTTAGAGGCGATCCTTCACTTTGGTTGGAACCCCCTAAAAGGCCGCCCGGTTTTGATCCTGGGATAGCCGACATTTCACCAATGAGACATGAACTTCCACTTGGATATCACGTGCCTCACAGTGTGGCCACGCGCTGCCCGACATGTTTTTGAATGGTACCCTTTTGGGGTTCACATGTCCAAAGAGGCCAAAAGAAACCGCCAGCGCCTGAAGTCGGAGGAGGCGCCATCCGGAGAGAAGTGGAGCACCTAGAACGACTTGCCCGGGCACCCGGGTGGTAGACTCGGCCAGGGGCACGCAGAAGATGATATTTTTTTGATCTACCTTGCAATATGTAGCCATATTGAATCTACCTTGCATCTGGGCTTGTTCCTGACTTAGTCCACCTTACAATGCAAGCCAGTCTTGGAGGAGACCCGAGTAGATCCCCCAAAGCCTGGAAACCAAAGGTTCAGCTCTTAAAACATAGAGACAATGGAAGACTACCGACAAAGTAAACAAATCGGCTTGCAACTGAAAAATGGGTGCGTGAATGCGATGAGGTCAAACAGGAGCCCAGGGTTACTTTGCTTTCCCTTAACAACAGGAACCACACTCAAATCATGCTTGGCTTCCCGGATTCCCTTTACAACAGAAAACATACCCAAATCCTGATTCACTGCCGAGCGTATCGTGGCGTATGCACTACTTGCGTGGAGATACCAAGGAGATTAGAACGAGGCATGGATCAACCCGGAAATGAATCCAACAAACTCTTTCTGAGCTCGGGCACAGTTCCCCAGTTGGCTCGGCATCAGCGGAACAGACAATAGACTCCAAAGTTCGCGCATGAAATGCACGCATTGGTGTTGGCATGTGTGTGCGTATTCGCGCGTTCATGTACCATTGTCATTGGCTGCATGTATGATACAATAATCCATGTATCCAAATATAGACATAGGCACGTATATCTGGCGTTTTTGCTGGCGTGGCACTCCATCCAGCAGGTCCAGGGACTGGTACTGACCTCACAATCAAACATATCCGCGGGAAGAAATGATCAAACAAGCGGGCACTCTCTGTTTGGCAGTGCGTCTTACAGGAAAAGCTTCTCCACCAAACAGCAAACGAAGCAGCCACTGCAGGTTGAAGCATACATGATCTCGAACCGGAAGGCACACTTCTCTTGACTGGTCATGACGAACACAAACACTGGTATTTGCCCATCTGCCCGAAAACCCGCGTACAACCTTCGAGTCTTCCAGACATTGCAAGAGCGTTTCTCAAAATAGGGATGCACTAAAATCGTTGGTGTCCTGCGGGTCCCCTTGTATTTCGACG